TGTGCTTGTTTTTTTTTTTTTAAAACAAATGCAAAAAAAAAAAATTAAACGGTACGCCATTTCGCGTTTAAAAAAAAAAAAAAAAAAAAAAAAAGAAATTAATCGTATAATAAAAAATTGTTAGCCAATTAAAATCACGAAAAAATAAAATGATCATCGGCCAATCAGATGGATATTCAACCATGCTATTTCTTCTGCAGATAAATAAGTCGCATCAGGTCTTAATTTACAGGCAATTTTAATGAATATAAAACAGCAAAATTTTGTTGCAAGATAAAACAAGTGATATCCAAAGGCAGTACATACACACGATCATGTATGTAGAGATAGAATAGAAATTTGAATTGAATCTAAATATTACTTAAACTTATCAATCTTAATGTTTTAAACAATAGGTGCGATACAATATCAACATGGCTACAAAAATGTAAAATTGTCAAAGTCCTCAAAAATGAGAAATAAATCGACAGAATAGGAAATTTGAATTTAGAAAGAAAGTTTCGAATTTATTTGATTTATTTAAATGCTCTCAATTTAGTTAAATTAACATTTTTGTAAAATGCAAAAAAATTTTTGTTCAATAAAAAATTTACTATAAAATGAAATTTTAAACAATATTAATATCAAAGTTAATATTTGATTTTTTTTATCCATGTTTTTTTATTATCTTTACGTATGGTTGATATTTGTTTCTTTTGTTACATCACAATGTAACTATAATACTTCATGTGTATGTACAGGTCTTTCACAAAGTCAATACTGTGGTGGTCATTCTGGCATGACTGGTATGTAATGAATGAAATTTTAGTTTAAAAATTAAATTTTAATCTAATGATTTTTTTTATAAGATGTAATTCTGCTCATGTTTATGAGTGTAGTCCTCAAGGCCAAGTCTGTGATTATGGTTATCACGATTCTTGTGCACAATGTGGAGGATTAACATGTCCTTCACAATCACAAAATAATGATTCTTGTGCACGATGTGGAGGATCCCTCACAGTCACAAAATCATACATGCAATACTAAGTGAGATTGTCTATATTCTCATGTGCATGTAGGAGTTGTACCCTAAATCAATGCGCAGATTGTGACTGCAATGGTTGCTTTGCTGGTGAACATTGTGAGCTATATACTTGTCCTTCATGTTATCGCGGCACTCTGTATTATTATTGTAGTGATTGTAACTGTCGTGGGTGTGGTATAAGAGTAAATCGTTTTTTTTTTTTTTTGAGTGTAAACGTATTAGATACTGTATTGACAAATGCGATTTTGCAACTGTATATGGTACAATTGGTAAAATTGACAAATTAGTTTTATTATAGTTCCTAAATGATTTTATAAAAATGATGTGGACAAAGCGCAATTTGTTATGAATTAGAGATGCGGTCCATACCTTTTTCATTAACTGTTATGCGGATCAATTTTGTAACCCTTATTTTATTTGATCCGTTTAGTTTATTAATTATTTTTTGATAAACAACGAGTTAAAAGAAATAAAGGCCATTTTTTTTTAAAAACAACCACAATACTGCAATATCGATATCTCATTTACAGAAGCAATACTAGAGTTGCTGGTGAAACTGGTGAAACTTGGTGAAACTTGGTGAAACTGGTGACTATCTAAAATCTGATTGGCTATTGAATGCAATAGCCAATCAGATTTTAGATAGTCACCAGTTTCACCAGTGTGATTTAGTTTCACCTGCAGTTCTAAGCAATACCTTATGCAGTTTTAAAGCTTAAAATTCTTGTGTAAAATGTAAAAAATATTAAATCATAAAAATTCTTAATAATATATATAGATATGAATGAGGATTGCATTCGTCACAAACCTTTATAACCGTGCTTCTATCCTCTAAAAATATGCCACTTTTCGAAGTAATTTTGTTTTTTTTTTTAAATGTTCTGTTCTGATCTTTCATCGTTATATATTAACAGAAAAAATAATATATACGCGGCTAAAATTATTGAAAAAAAAATAACTTTATATCCTACCACATGGTTTCATCAGACAGGTTTTTACGTATAAGCATGAGTAATTTATCAATCAGAGTTTACCCTTGAAAAATACATTAAGCCAACATTTAACCGATGGATATAAATGTGTTTTGTAATGCGTGAAATTGCAACAGTTCTCATGTAAAATAACATGCACACGACTATGTATACAAACACAAAATGGGACAGAACGGGTAATTAGTAGCTCCGGACATAAATGCTATGCATTTCCTAGTCTATAATAAATTTTGACAAAAACGAGCATCGCGAAATTAATAATTTTTATTTGTTCGTTTTTTTTAATAAAATAAATTTTACATTGGCTTATATTTAACAAGATTTCGTATGATCAACCACAGGGCGCGTAGAATAAAGATTTTTTTGTAGTGAAATTTGTTAAATTTGCGT